GGGATTTTGGCACTGGAGGGACGGTTCAAGGAGTCCTTGCTGTGACAGGAGAAGCCATCCCCCTCGGTGTGTGTCCACAGGCTCATGGGAAACGCCTCTCTGTGCTGCACAGCCTCTCTCATGTGGTCTCGACAGATGTATCTTGATTTCGTTGTGGGTACTTGCATAGCCACATCTTATCCGTATAAATGCATGCCTTCACATTTTCACTTTCTGTCAAAAAAAGAAAGGAAATGGAAGGCCGTTCGGTTATTTTGGTTTGTCAGGAAACAATAACACAACGCTAATTATTTGTTTTAGTTTTGTGGATGTGGATTTTAATTAGCAGTTGACTTTATGCACTATATAAAACACGGAAAATACAGTCATAAAAAAGATAGTCCCTAATTTCCACTGTAAACAGCTTAAAATATAGACAACTCTGGAATCTTAGAGTAGCGTAAGTCTAATCTTGCTTAAGCTGAACGTTAAGTGAAATGAACTGCTTTAAGTTGTCGGTGTGTTATTATGTGTCCATGAGTGTCTTGAGTGGGGCGATTTAGAGTGACTGTTTTTTTAAATATAGAAAATGTGAGAGTGAGACTTTCCAGTCTGTTTTTCTGGCCTGGCTTTACATTTGGCCATTCTCTGGCCTGCCTCAAAGATCAGGTTCCAGGAAGCGTCTGCGTCTGGTTAGCCCCATCAACAGTCATTTGGACTTGACCCTTTGCTCTGGGCTAATTATCGTCTGCTGAGTTCAAGTATCAAGTTGTTTTCCAACAGTTCCCACTTGCATAGTTTGAGATACAGAAAACAAAGCCTCCTAGTTTGTGTGCATATAAATGTTTACAATAATCTGCTGTGGAACACACTTTTGTGCTATAGTATTTAAATTTAATCAGATATGGAGGCTGATCAAGCAGGTCATTTGTGTCTGCTTGCCCTCTTTGTTTTAAGCATGTTGATGCAGTTTCAGCACAAATTATACAACCTTTATGCGAGCTGGCTATCGCGCACGCCTCTTGTTTCTGTCAGCCGCAAAACTGGGTTATTAAACTCATTTACATCATAATGTATCAGGGTTCAGCTGATAGCATTGGGTCACTGGTATTATGTGTGCTTGTTATTATTATTATTTTTTAAAACAATTTTGTGGGAAGGTCCATAACGGGCATGGCAGGTCAGACAGGGAAGAGATATTAATTAGCCATATTATAGACAATTTCAGACATAACATATTCAAGGTTAGTTATGACTGCAGCTTACCATGATTGTATAAACCATAATAATTTGAGAGAGAGAGAGAGAGAGAGTGTGTATGTGTGTGTGTACCTGGGTTAGAGGTGGTCTAGAACATCACAAAACTGCAAGGTTGAAGGAAAGGTGATAGTTCAATGCTTTTAAGTTAAAAATGTATTTCATTTTTACATTTCTATAATTGATATGAAATATATATATATATGAAAAAGACTTAAATGATAAAAATTTATATAGGCATATATATATATATATATATATATATATATATATATATATATATATATATAAAATATTATATATATATATATATATATAAAACATTTTTATTCTGTTAGCTACATATCTTTCTATTTATTAATTTTGTAAATATTATTTTATTATGAACTTTTATTTGTTTATTTTTATTTTGTATTCATTGTTTATATTTTTTAATTTTAATTTGATAATTTAATTGTTATTATTTATTTAATTTATTTTTAAGACAGATCATTAGGCTATAGTTCAGATGACCAAATAAGGAAATTGGTATGTGTGATGTAACGATTCAATTTCCATATATAGCTGCTCAGTGTGAGAAAAGGCAGTAACTGCCACAGAGGAATGGATTTGTTGTGTGAGCATAGAAAGTGGCAATACACACGTGTGTGTGTGTGACTGTGTGTTACCCCAAATAGCACAATGTATCCTGGTGAGGGGGCCTTACTAGGACTGAAACACTCCTGTGACTGAAACACTCCCATGCAGTGATTTGATGCAGTCATAATTGATTTATTTAATTTTTAATTCCTAAATGAGACTTTGAATCCTCTCATTTCTTGACAATGGCAAACAAAAATTAGACAGGTTGACACAGAAGTGTCTTGTTGAATTAATGTTGTTCCCAGAGCTTTGAATACACTCTGTTGATATAATCGGCTTCATGTCCTTTGCTGCACAATATAAGATGTCTGATGAAATGTAAAAATTATGCAGAGTAACATCCTATGATCTTCTGTTTCGCAACGCATTGTCCAAAAACATGTCGATGGAACAGATTGAATTTGCTTTGGCTTGCGATATGGGGCCATTTGGAGCTCTGAACTTTTTAAAAACATTTTATCAAGCGCTTTTCAAGACTCTGTCTTTCGTTATGGCAGCCCTTCAGAAATTATGACTGCTCTCCAATAAATTGGCAGATTAGATCGGACTAACACTGCCGCCATGCAGAACGGACCTCAATACAGATAATTGTTTTTAAATGGCCTTTGCTGGGTGGGTTTTTAATGCCTCTAACTCTCCTGCTCGCTCGCTCACTTGCCCATTTTGTCACTCTCTCTCTCTGTGTTATGCATATGGCTGTAGCAGTCAATGTAAATCAGGGGCATCCAATTAATATTGAATCAATTACACTGTGTGTGATTGTCTGGCATGTGAGCCACCTGCAATTTTCTGTGCCAAAATGTGACCCAAATGAGTGGCTTAACAAAGACCCCAGCAATTTAAGCTTTTTTTCCATATTGTTTTTTTTCTTCCTCCTTTTTTAAATCACATATTATCTGGAGCTTGATGATCTGTCATGATCATAATTATCATCAAAGCGCCTTTCTGGAGTTCGAGGGAGCGAGTGTGACACTGATCGTTTTTTAAGAGGACTTGTAAGGAGCAGCGTTAACTGACGTTCAGTCATCAGTGAGAACCGAGGCAACCACGACAGTTGTTTTTATTTTCCAAACTGCCCCATGCAGCATGGGAGTGTGTGTGTTTCTGACAGACGAAATAGATTTTCTTTAGAGGCATGTGTGGAAATATGCATGTATACAGAGGATGCTCAGTATCACAAGATCATTTCATTTGTGTGTTGCTGCCACGGCTTAATATGGGGCGACACCTTTTTTTTTTTTTACGATCAAGAAAATGAATAATCGGGAAGCGACAAAGAGACATGTCTTACCCGAGCGGCGATGGTGCCCTGGAAGCGGCTCTTTATGAATATGTATTCGAACTGGGGGGGCATTTGTCGCTAATTTTCCAAACCTTTTTATTTTCTTTCACTGGCAGGATTTCTTCATACAAAAGACCCGTTGTCCCTTTCAAAGAACACTGTGCTGTTGGAAGCCCATGTGTGTTTGTGTCTAGTCCCTGCATATGTGTACCATCTTCTGTCTGATCTTAGAAAAACTAGCATTACCGAATGTGTGTGCGAGAGGTGTGCAGTGCTTTTCCAGAGGGAAGAGGTGTAATAATAGCACAGAATGATGTTTAATTCTCTTGGAGCTGTTTTGCTGCATGTGGAAATGTGTCTCTCAGCATCCCTCGCAAAAAACATTGTGATATTCTGCATCCTCGGCCTTGATTTGCATGATACAGTCGGCTCGGTGCTGTGGGGGTGGAAGGCTTCCTTTCATTCGCCATTCTCATCTAATGGGCTACAGCACACATTTTTTGTTGGGTTGGGAATTTTGTGTTGCATGGAAAAAAAACGAGAATCCATTTTTTGTTGTTGTTTGTACAAGACTTATTTATATTCAGTTGAAATTGAGAGATATTATATGAAAATTGTATATCTGAAGGCTTTAAACCTTAAAAATCACATTGTCTTTACCTGTTTTTTTGCGCCAAAGTCGGCGTGCAAGGAAACAAAGGTATTTATCAGCCAGACGGGCACTGCCTGGCACAGTGCCACCCGCTCCGTCTCAGTTCTCCCACCCCCGCACCCCTTCATACGCTCTTAGCACCCAATGATGCTCTCACCCCCCCCATCCCTCCCTCCTGCAGACTATGGCTTCGCCTCCTCCATCACAAGAGGAGAAATACCCAGCTCTCTCCTTTCTGTCTGTCCTCATCT